TGAGGGAAGAAGAGGACCAGCCTAGCATTTCTCAATTCATTTTCAACCAGGATTTCTTCAAGTTTTATTGTAAGATACTTTCTATATTTAAGTGGTATGATTTCATGGTAATATTTATGTTTAATCTATGCATGAAAAACTCTAATATGAATGTGGTGGACAAGTCCAGAAAGTTAGATATCTATTTATGCCTTAGGACAAATCCGAAGGGCACCGGCAAGCCGGAATGTGTAAGTATGTGTTTGATTGCATTCTTTTGTGTAGTATTAACATGTGAAAATCCAAGCATGGTATCTTACTGAGTATTCCTTATACTCATAGTATTCTATACTAAATTTTCAGATCCATAATTGTGAAGTTGGTGGAAGTCAGTCGACATAATCGATGATGGGTTAGGGACAAGGTTGTTTTGCATCGAAGTTTTGTTTTTGCATGTTTTGTTCGACTGTTTTCCATATGTTTTCTTATGGTATTGTATAAAAACATGTATAAGACATGTTGTAATATGGTACCGGAAGTAAATTATGCAATTATATCTTCTATGTTGTGTTAAGAGACATTTTTTTTTTAAATTTTCTCCTTGCAAGTGACAAAAGGCAGAAACGGAACAGTTTTTGTGTCAACTTCAAAATGATATTTCCAACTCTATAAACATCCATTTAAGACTCTAAAAATATTTCTACGTTCCTCTTTGAGTTTTATAAATATGGGTGTAGGAATCACTCAAATTTGATAACTACGGCCTGAGATATAAATTTTTAAACGTCGAGGGGTCAATCTGGATTTCCTGTGCAATACTTCACTATTTTCAGTAAAACGCCCATATCATATGATCTTGGAAAATTTTCATATTTTAACCTAGAAAACTACTTGAAATTATCTTTCTAATTCCACAAATTTCATAGAAAACAGAGTTGGGATGAATTTCATAAAAATAGTCGAACTTGCTGCCCCAACTAACCGTGGCAGTGCCGAGTCCGTATATGTAAAGTATAATTTCATGTCGACATGCACTTCTACCGGCCATTAAATTTTATGAGAGATATTTTACCAATCTGAAAATAAGTTTCTAACATGTAATACTTCTATTTAAGAGTATTTACATGTACCAAAGGCAAACACTATTATGTGAAGTACGTGACCCTCGAAGCTTAAGTTCGGGGCGTCACAGCCCCTCTCCTATACAAATTTGGATCATCCCAGTAATAGAATTTCGCTTTATGACTGAGCTTCTTCTTTTGCTGATAGGTGAGATCCGGCTCCATATAGCCACCGGCTAAGTAATTAACAATGTCTGCATACCACGAAGCTTTTTCTACCTGCAGTAACTGTTCATCTGGAAGACCTCACTGATATTCATATCATCTGAATCCTAATGTTGCTCTATCCTTGACAAGTGATCTGCTACCTGATTTTCTATTCCTTTTTTATCACGAATCTCGATGTCAATTTCTTGTAGTAACAACACCCAGCGAATTAGCCTTAGTTTCGCGTCCTTCTTCTCAAACAAATATTTCAGAGCTGCATGGTCTATTTAAACTATCATCTTGGACCCAATCAAATAAGAACGGAATTTGTCAAAAGCAAAAACAACTGCAAGCAATTCCTTTTCAGTTGTTGCATAGTTGATCTAAGCATCATTCAATGTTTTGCTAGCATAGTAGACAACATGAAATACTTTTCCGTTGCGTTGTCCAAGCACTGCCCCCACTGCAAAGCCACTGGCGTCACACATGAGCTCAAAAGGCAATTCCCAATCTGAAGCCACTATCACAGGTGCCGATGTCAATTTTTCTTTCAAAGTGTTGAAGGCTTTCAAACACTCATCAGAAAATTGAAAGGGTATATCTTTCTCCAGCAGGTTGCACAACGGTTTTGTAATTTTTGCAAAGTCTTGAATGAATCTTCTATAAAACCCTACATGTCCTAAAAAAACTCCTGATCCCCTTTACTGAATTAGGTGACTGCAATTTCTCAATCACCTGTATTTTGGCTTTGTCCACTTCAATCCCCTGTGCAGAAATTCTATGTCCCAGTACTATTCCTTCCTTTACCATGAAATGACATTTTTCCCAATTAAGCACAAGGTTCTTCTCCTCACATCTTTGCAATACAAGAGCCAACCGCTCCAAGCAATCGTCAAAGGAATCTCCAAACACAGAAAAATCGTCCATAAAAACCTCAATGTACTTTTCTACCATGTCAGAAAAGATGGCCATCATGCATCGTTGAAAAGTTGCCGATGCATTGCATAAACCAAAAGGCATTCTTCTAAATGCAAACGTTCCATAAGGGCATGTGAAGGTTGTCTTCTCTTGGTCTTCTGGAGCAATTACTATCTGATTGTACCCTGAATATCCGTCCAGAAAGCAATAATGAGAATATCCTACCAACCTTTCCAACATCTGATCAATGAATGGCAATGGAAAATGGTCTTTTCTGGTTGCATTATTTAGCTTTCTATAATCTATGCATACTCTCCACCCTGTCACTAACCGTGTTGGTATCAGCTCGTTATTCTCGTTCTTCTCCACAGTGATTCCACCCTTTTTAGGTACAACATGTACAGGACTCACCCACGAACTATCAGATATGGGATAAATTATTCCTGCATCCAATAATTTCAGCACTTCTTTTCGCACGACTTCTTTCAAGGTTGGATTTAATCGGCGTTGTCCTTCCACTGATGCCCTTGACCCGTCCTCCATTAGAATCTTGTGCATGCAAAGAGGTGGACTGATCCCTCTTATATCTGCTATTGTCCATCCAATTGCCATTTTGTGTTGCCCGAGTACCTCCAACAATTTATCCTCCTCTTCCATTGTCATGTCATTTGCAATGATTACTGACAGTGTTGACGATTCTCCCAAATATGCATAACGAAGATGGGAAGGTAAGGGCTTAAGTTCAAGAGTGGGTGCCTTTTCCACTGAGGGTACCGGGGGAGAAGGGTTGTCTCCTAGAGATCCATACTGCCAATACCTTCTTCCTATGGGTTGCGAGGCTAAGTTGACAACACATTCAGCTTTTCCTGCATTTGTTGCTTCCAATTGTGCAAGTTCTACCTCACAAAGATTTGTGTGATGCTCTATATCAAATGTATCTGCCACAAGCTCTTCAAGAACATCAACTTGGTAGCAAGTGTCGGAAGTCAATGGGTGTTTCATTGCCTTGAATATGTTGAATATGACTTGCTCATTGTCTACTCGAAGAATTATTTTTCCATCATACACATCAATCAATGCTCTCCCAGTAGCCAAGAACGGTCTTCCCAAGATCAGAGGAATATTTGAGTCCTCTTCCATGTCCAAAATGATGAAATCAGCCAGAAAAATAAATTTGTCAACTTTAACCAGCACATCTTCAATAATTCCCTTTGGTCGTTTGATCGATCTGTTGGCTAGTTGCAAGGAGATTGTTGTAGGTTTTGCTTCTCCTAATCCAAGAGACCTGTAAACAGAGAGATGCATCAAATTAACACTGGCACCTAAATCACATAAAGAATGTTCAAAAAAATTAGAACCAATTGTGCAAGGTATAGTGAAACTCCCTGGGTCCTTTAGTTTAGGAGGTAGCATTCTTAATAGTATTGCACTGCACTCCTCGTTCAAGCATATTGTCTCATGTTCTTCCAACTTCCTTTTGTTAGATAGGATCTATTTCAAGAATTTTGCATAGCTGGGCATTTGGGCAATTGTGTCTGCAAAAGGAATATTGATGTGCAGTTTCTTGAAAATCTCCACAAACTTAGCAAACTGATTATCCAACTTCTTTCTTTGTAACCTTTGAAGGAAGGGAATTGGTGGCACATAAGCCTTCACGAGGCTGGGTGCTCTCACTGCAGTTGTTTCCTTCCTTTCGTTTTCCTTGTCAGTTGGTTGTTCAAACTCTACTTCTTTCCCAGCCTCTTCACCCATTGTTTCCTTTTCTTTTCGCTCCAGTCTCTTCACATGTATTTCTGGAAGTTGCACCCCACTCCTGGTAGTAATAGCTTGCACTTGCTCTTTTGGATTGACCATTGTGTTGCCTAGCAATGTCCCTTGTGGGCGTTTTGCAAGCTGTTGAGCTATCTGATCAATTTGTGTTTCCAACTTCTTGATTGATGCTTGCTGATTCTGAAAATTAGTGTCAATCTGCTGAAACACCTTGTCAGTCTTCTACATGTACTGGTTGAACATCTCCCCCAAACTTGGTTTTTTCTCCTGTTGGGCATTATTTAAACTGTTCCCTTGTTGATTATCCGATCATCTAAAGTTTGGGTGTTATCTCCATCCTGGGTTGTATGTTTGAGCAAATGGATTAAAATTTCGAGACCCATTCTGAATGAAATTGACCTGCTCGTCGGGATAGCCTATAGATGTGCAGTTTTCTGTCAGATCATTAGCCCCGCAGTTCTCGCATGATGGACCAGCTGCCACTGCATGTGCTCCTTTCGTTTGTGATTTCACCAATAACTCCACTTGTTTTGTCAATGCCACTATTTGGGCGTTGGTAGTTGCTGCGTTGTCTAACTCATACATTCCTCATGTCTTCGGTGGCGCCACTCTTTCCGATGAGAACATGGAATGTGTAGTGGCAATCAACTAAAACAGTTCCATGGTTTGCTGTACAGATTTTCATATAATTGATCCTCCAGCTGAGGCATCGACTTGAGATTTTGACAGTAGTATAAGTCCAGTGTAGAAGTACTGCACTTGATTACCTATAGCAATTCCATGGTTTGGGCATTTTCTCATCAACTCATTAAACCTATTCCATGCTTCGTGATAGCTTTCTCCTTCTTTCTGTTGAAAAGTTTGAATTTCTAATCTGATTTTAGCTACCCTCGCCGATGGGAAAAATTTATTACAAAACTTCCTGATTAGTTCTTCCCATGTAGTAATGCTAGTGTGAGGCTCAGCATCTAACCATTCCAATGCAGCATCTCTCAATGTAAATGGGAATAGTCGTAGTTTAATAGCATCTTCATTGACTCCCGAAGCATGAAAGTTCCGACAGTTTCTGAGAAATCTAGAAATATGCGTGTTTGGATTCTCTTGAGGTAGCCCGTAGTATTGCAGGGTGTTGCTCATCAAGTTAATCCAATCTGGCCTGATCTGAAAGTTATTCACCCCAAAATCTGGATACACGATACTGGAGCGCATGGGTGCTGCTATAGGTGTCAGGAACATTGATACTGGCAAATCCCCTTCATTTATTTCCCTTCGTTCATGCTGTTGTTCCGGTGGTGCCACCACTCTTGCGGTCATTTGCCCAATCGGATGAATAGGGATATGGATTTGTTGCTTGCCAGCCATTTAATGTTGCTATTTTTGTTTGTGTTTCTTGCGTCTTCGTCTGAAGGTACGTTCTATCTCCGAATCAAACGGCTCAAGATCGTCGCCTTGGGCACAGAGCATACAATGAACACAATTTTTTTGTAATTAAAAGAAAAATAAACAAATCAAATAACAATCAAAATAAAAAAAATAATTAAAACTAAAAGAAATGGTCCCCGGCAACGGCGCCAAAAACTTGTTGTAAAATTTTGTTTCGCAAGTGTACGACCCGTAATAAATAATAGTGGACCTAAGAGCCCGGTTATCGATCCCACAAATTCTATTTTCTAGAATTTAATTTAATCTTTCTTTAACTACTATTTGACGAATATAAATCAAAGGTTATAAAATCTGGGTTTTAATCTAAATTCTAGAAAATAAATGAATGTTCACACGATTGGTTGGAGAATCAAATAATGAACGGATGTTAGGGTAGAATAACTTCACCAATTGATCACCTTTACATCTCAAATTAAAACTCAATTCTAATGTAGCGCTCGGTCGAATTCTCCTATTGTATTCAATTTACCCCTCTCAAGTTTTCATTGAGCCTATTTAACTAATTAAATTTCATATCTCTATGCAAATTCAACTTAGTTAAACGAGTTCTATGTTTTAGGAATTCAATTATGACCGCAATAAATGGTATAGGTATCTCTACTCGTTATACCAATGTATTAGATTTTACTACATGGTCTAAATCCTAAACTCATATCTCTATTTGTAAAAAATTCACAAAAATCATCAAATTATTGATCGGATAATTTAATGCATTCAACTCATAGCAAAATCAACACATGGAAGAATTAAAAAATGAAAGTCTCAATAAGAAAATGTAAAAGATCCCAATTGGTTACATTATTCCCCCTAACAATGAATTTAGCTACTCATAATACAAGAAGAAAAGAAGGAATTTGTCTTAGAATACATCACCGAGTTTGAAATAAAGATGTAGAAGAAAAAGTGGAATTCTTGCACCAAGATCTCCTTCCTCTTCCAATGAATGCTTCCAATCTTCAATTCTTGGTGTTAATCTTCTTGAATTTCTCCTTTGAATCTCCCTTCTTGTTGTTTTCTCTCCAATATGTCAAGAACCCTTCAAAAGTATGAGGAAGATGTATTTATAGGTGCCCCTCCGTTTTATGTAGAAGTAGGGTTTTTATGGATTTAAAAACGGCCCAAAAAAAACGCGCCCTAGATCGTCAATCGAACGCCTAGGCGTTACAAGACAGCGCCTCAGCACTGGCTATAGCGCCTGGGCGCTATGGTTTCGGAGCCTAGGCGCTGTTTTTCGGGTCCAAATTTCATCTTTTTTCAGTTTCGTAGTGCCTAGGCGCTATGAGTGCAGCGCCTAAGCACCGTCTTTCTGCCCCAATTTCGTGTTTTTGGCCTCTTCGTCTACTTTAATACTTTTTTTCACATCGCTTCTCCTTATCTTCAAAATAAGACAACAAACACATTGAAAACGTTCTATACTCATAAAATCTAGCATTTAATGAAGCTAAAATTGTATGAAAATCATGAGTGAAACAAACTCATCAGTTATCAACATATTTCTTAATATTGCATGATATCATTACAAAAGTTATCCATGTTCACACAGATTGCTCAATCAATGAACTAAAAAGGATTGTAAAAATAATTGCAGAAATCTATAAGATAACCTTGCATGATATGATCATATTTGGTCCTTTGAAAGGTCAATTAGTTCATTATTTTTTCTCACTTATTCCTATTTACAATTGATGCCCTCATCTTCAACTATAAATATATGATATTTGAACTCTTACTCTTCACACTCATCCTTGCAGAACACATATTTTCTCATATATTAGCATTAATGGCATTCCTTAATGCAAATCGAGTATTTCTGATGGCTGTTTTCATGGCAATATTGCTTATCATATCACCCAAAATGGCAAACGCTTCAATTTCTGATGCAAACCCAGAGATTCCACGTGGTCAGTACTAAAAATTCTTATTCAAAATGAAGACATATTTTATGATTGTTTTGGAATACATTCAACTATAAGTGCATGTTGGTATGCTGTACTAAATGAGACTGGATAATACAATAAACAATATTTTAATTAGTTTATTTCTCTTCTGCGATACTGTGGAGTGTTATTTAATCCTCGTTATTAAACATGCACTTAATGTACATGCAGATTAATACTAGTGATAATACATATCCTCCCTAAAAGCAAATAATGTTTTTAGAGGAGGTGGGTTAACATGGTTTAGGAGTTTTAGGTTCAAGTTTTATCACCATTAATTTATGAAAATTGTACACATGTCAGATCTTTGATGAAAAAATTAAAGAATCGTCGAGATGATGTGTTGAAAACAAAAGTTAAATTCATAAACCTGTTCGCTTCTAGTAGCTTAAATTTATATACTAGGAGTTCAACCAATAACTTCAAAACTTTGTATATATCATAATTCATAAGTCCATTATTGAAGATTAGAGTTTTCGTATGAATTTAACAGAAAGAGGAGCATCAGACTCTTAATCTTTTGTAGAAGAAGTTATTATTGTTGACCTATGGTTGATTTCTCATTTTGATTATAACAAACAAATTATGTTTATTACTAACAATTGTATTTTAGTGATTATAGAAGTTATGACAAATGTAGTAAATCGAAGACAAAATGTTGGAGCTTTCGCAAAAATTGAAGAAAGTAAAAGCCGAGCTACACAACAAGTCAAGAAGCACTTCATCAAGTCAAATTATAAAGAAATTTTAAGAAATTAGACTTAGACACCTTGATTTCAAATGTAAAGGTAAAACACTTTAGTATTTAGCAAATACATTATTTGAAGCTCGAGAAAGTTTCTTCGCACAACAAACACGATTTTTTGCGTAAATTTTTTTTTAAGGTATGAACCTAATTATACACTTTAAGAAATGTCAAAAATCTTGAAAAACAAATTGGAAACATCTTTCATGAGATTACACCCTTTTAGAACATTAAAAGAAGAAGAATTCTAACTGCCAAACGCAAACTGGTTTAGAGGACGCGTCCTGTAACTCTGGCGGTCGCATCTTGTAACTTTGGGCTAGAGGACGCGTCCTGTAATCCTAGCGGACGTCCAGTACAGCAGGTTTGTCCAACGGTCTGAAAACTGAACGTTGTGACTTCTGAACAAAAAAAAAAAAAATTGGATAGTTGACCTTCCGATAGCCTCGTTTGGTAAGACAGAACTTTTGACTATTTTGCTGCTATAAATACTAGATTAGTTTGCATTCAAGATAACAACTCCAAGAGCATTAAAGTGAGATTTTCTTGAGCTTAAATATTTGTTTTATATTCTTTACTCATCTCTATTCGTTCTTGAAAAACTTTTGATTGATTCAACCTTTGATAATCATCTCATAAAAGTTTTTCATATCTAACACTTGAGTTTCAATTATTGCTATTTACTAAAGTGTTAACCTCCTTCTCTTATTGAATTCAACTCCGAATAAATCATTCATTACAAGACAAGTCTCTATTTATAAACTCTTTATTTTCAAACCTGTGGGTCGGGTTGAAGTCCCGAAAATTTCAACATTGTAAAGGAATGGTGCTCCTTGCTTATAAGTCATCGAAAACATTGTAAAAAGGTTAGATTACATCATAAATCAATCAATATAGTGAAAAAGGCCTTACTCGTGACGGAGGGCTTGGTAACGGGAGACGTAGATCATTGCATTGGATCGAACCTCCATATGATATCGTTTGACTTCTCTTCCCTTTTACTTATCCTTGTTTTTATTTATTACTTGTGAATTTATCTTAGTCTTCGTTCATTTTCATATTTGACTAATTGCTACATTTAAGTGAGAATTAATTGAATACATAAAACTATTCTTCGAAAAAGTTACTATAACCAATTCACCCCCCTCTTAGTTAGCTAGTCTTGGGCTTTCAATTATGGCATTAGTAATTTCTTCCATTATGTATTCCCTAAAACATGGAGGTATATATGTTGTCATTGCAGGAAGAAGGCTTCTTGAGAGTGGATACAGTACAACAGGACATGGAGGGTACAATAGTGATAAAGGATACACAACAAATGGACGAGGAGGATACAATAGAAGACTTCTTGAGAATGGATACAGCACAACTGGACGTGGAGTGTACAATAGTGAGAGTGGATACAGTACAAATGGGCGTGGAGGTTACAATAGCGAGGGAGGATACACTGCAACAGGCCGTGGAGGATACAACTAAAAAGTCACAGAGATGATTGATGAAGCTAAGCATGGTGTATTTGCATGGATAATACTATAATTATATTTCCTATTCCTCTTGCATTTGCAAAAGAAGTCTTTTATTTGTGTTTTTATAGGCAGCTCTGCTACATTCATTTGCCAGTGTTGTACTCATATTTAGTTAAAGCGTGCTTGAATAAAAGGTTTTCCCTTATAACTGTATAAAGTATAATGACTGCTACAAAGGAGTGACAACTGACAATACATGGCACTTTGAAGGAGTATCTTCATGCCAAGGAAATTTAGGCAAGTTTTTAACTAATTGGGCACAAGCGCGGCTACTTTCCAAGCAAAAATTGGTCTCTAAAGGCAATGCTTTTGTGCCCTCGTGATTTAGGGAAAAGTCTAACATTTGGGGGATCCAATGGTCTTTTTAATCAATCCAAAAAATGGGATTTCATTTTTGTTAATTTTGTATTTGGATCCATGAGGATGTTGCGAGAGTTAACTTATTGCGGCTACACTGAATTTTTTAAATAAAACTCATTGTGTTGATGAAAATCATTATTGATTGAACTCAAAATTGAGTTTTTACAATGTTATTATTCAAAAAAGTCTTAATATCATGTGGCAAGAATTTCTTGTTGAAAATCATGAAGTTCAAACCTAAAATCACCTAGACAAGAGTGAATAGATGAATACTGCAAAGTTAAAATAACCAATTAAAAACCACAGGTCACTTTTTAATTGTTCAAAATGTTTAGTCAATCAAGTCAATTTATCATATAGTTTGAATGCCACAATCGATAATATGAAAGCAATAAACAACACAAAATATGTTAACGAAAAAACCCAACTGGATAGAAACTCTAGGACCAAGCCATTAACTTCCACTATAAATAATATGAACTTACAGTATGGTCTAGTCTATAAAACCACTAGATTCACTAATCTAATTCTAGTAATCTCCAAGACCAGCTTCAACGTACTTCACTCACACCTGTTCCCGGTCTTTCGAAATTGCCAATCTCCTGTGGATCTTCAAAACACGTTCTTTTACTCTTCCAATACTTCTAGTCCAATTCCCTCAATGTTCAACAACCTCTAAAAGTTATTGAGAATGTACATTCTTGTACATGTGTAGGAAGTAGGTGTTTTAGATTATGTAATCTCCAACTCCCTCAATCTTTCTTGATATCTGATTGAAGTGATTTAAAATGTATTGGAAAATTAATTCAAAGGGCTACAATTCTTCTAAGTAGCCTTGTCCAAATTTCAATGTTTTCTAAGTGAAAAATATGCTGCAATTTGTAACTGAAAATTTGGAACATAACTTGTGTGGCTCTTTGGTACTCTTTAGAATTTTAATTGCATTCCCTTGATCACATGTGATCTTCTTGGACATCTTATACTCCTTCAAGAACTTTATTATCAATCCCAACTCTTTTGACTTTAATTAGGACTTAATAACTCCTATTTTGACTTTGATCACGACTTGATAAATTCCTAATATAATTTAATTAGGACTTGATTTTGTCTACAGAATTGTCAATACAACATAAATTCTAACAGTTATTTATTTCATGTCATTTGTGAATGAATCAACAAAAAATTAATAATTGCTCAAGAAACCCAAATATTTCACGAACACTCCTTGCACCAGAAACTCCAGAATTTGAAGAGAAAGATAGAAAAAATAACCTAATAAATCAGGTTTATTTGTTTTGCTAGTGCCAAAAAAAGTTAAAAAAAAATGGAGACTTTCGGTTTTTAATATAAAAGAACCTCGATGGAACTTCTCATGAAAACAATTGTGGTAAGAGAGGATGTAAATCGGTAATACATTTAAGACTTGTGATATATTTTACGGAGAACTTAAAGTAATTAAGTCATGAGTGTAAATTAAATTCTCGTTTTAGGATCGGATTTAGATAAAGTGAGTAAACGATCGATTAGAGACCCACGTGTAAAAGAAGACGGAGACGAGTCTTGTGCTAGTCCGAGTATTGTAAAAATAAAGGTATCTAATTTTGAAGAACAAGTGCAACCACCATTTTCAAATGATTTTATAGTACATCAAACGGGTCCAACAGAAATTGGGTTGGATCTAACTAAGATCAACCTGAATTCATATTTAGTTTTGAGACCATTTTCGATCCACTTTGTATCTGTTTAGTGTATTTTTCATATTGAGGCAACAATGAGTTGTGTCATATTTGATTTTGGTCTTAAATTGGGTTCCAACTTCTAGTTAGCTTATGGTGAAAATATTCTCCAATTAAAAAATGAAGCGAAATCTAAGCCTGGTTTGACAAACATAAAAAAAACTCATTTTTTTTACTTAAACTCATTTTCAACTACATATTCTTACAATAAAATATTCCGCACATAAATTCAAAACTTTTTCATACTTTTTAATCACACATTCTTCAAAAAATCACTATTTTAAAAATAATCTTTTCCAACTCGTTTTAATGGTTGTCAAGAAGGGGCTAAATAGGACAAAAACCGACTTGTAGCACTATTCTCCTTTTTCTTTACATAAAGGGGATAAATGGATTAGACCACTTCTCCCAAAGGAGTTTCGAACATAGTTAAGGAAGGCTTCTCTTTTACCACTTGATCTAGACCATAGTCCTGCAATATTCTCCTTTCAGTATAAAAAAAATTAAGAAAATATTAATGAAATCTCAAAATATGGGAGAAGTTTTTTTTTTATTCCATTTCCATGGACATTTTGGACTAAATATATTATGCCATTTTAATGGAATTTTTGGACACTACATTCCTCCATTACCTTCTTGATTAAATTGTTGGAAAAATTGGTTTAATTATATTGGTGGAAACCACTAGTAAATTGTGTTGGGTAAAAAGAGCCGGCGTACAATAGGAATAAGTAGACAATGTCAATAGAAGACGAAGAGTGTTGAGGAAACTCGCTCCAAGGATCTTCTAAAGTCGGTGTTTTATGGACTTTGTTTCACGTTACCTTCTCTACCAAATACCAATCTAAACGACTCTGACCCACAACACCCATAAAGTACAAGATAAAGGTGTTGATTTGCAAGCCACTAAGGCACGGGAAAAATAATGAAAGAGGCACAAAGAGAAGACCAAAACAAAACAGGAAGTCGCCGGTTTTTCACTCTCAATTGCACACCTTTTTTTCTCAATAGGCAGCTGTTTTTCTCTCTTTACACGCAAATCACATACAAGAAAATGGCTAGGTTGAGCAACATATATATAGGAATAGGTTAGACTTTAGTTGGACCAATAAAGAGGCTAATTGGTAAACCATTCATCATTGGCCGGGCCTGTAAAAGTATATTCCGATGTTTTATATCATCGTCCGAAATTTATTAGGTATCAAAACTCAACAAAGAGGGAAAAAATAGAGGCGAAGAAGAAGAAAGAACTCTTCGGCAAGAATCTAAGTTTAGCAAGATAGCTACAAGAAAAATTGAAGTTTAAACTCACACGCAAACGAAGGAAAGGCAACAAAGTAGTTGATTGGACAAGTTCCTTCTATTCGAGTGGTTAATAAAGGCTTGATGGATAGATAGATGTTTAATTATAGCGTAGAATTAGAATTTTGGGATATTTTAGTTTGCTAGGTTGTATTAGTACGTGTAGTTCGATTAAGATTTGCACCATACCCTATTCATTGTAAATACTTTGAGGCAGGAGAAACCCTCCTCTTGTATTTTCATATATCCTAATGGTTGGGAAATCCAAACCCTGTGAAGATTTGGATAGATAGCCTAAAAACTATAGTCGTGGATTTACGTTTATCAAAAAAAAAATAATAATAATAAATAAATAAATAAAAAGGATATGGTGACAACAAAAACTGTATTTCATTTCTCAACTAGATCAAGAATCTCAAACCAAATTAGAAGATTTAACCAAGTCAAGCAAAATATAATTAAAAAAAAAAATTAGCAAAAATATGAATAATTTTGACCTGGGATCGAGTTTCCCTCAATAAATAATGCATCTAGATAATTAAAACTTTTCAAAGCCTAACCAGACCTTGACTAGAAAGTGAGCCACCGTTCTTTTCATTATTTGTCTTTATTAGGTTCATTACTCATAAATCGCAACATGCCATGGATTTGGTCATTCTGATTTTGAGTTTGGAGAAGAAGTCAGTGTGGGGTTAGCGAGTCAACTCGAGCGGCTAAATTTGATAGACTGTCCAAATCATTAATGTTGCAATTTGGCCAGCCTCCAGAGTCCAGAAGCAACTTGCAATTTACACGGTTACACCAATCACTTTCTTGTCCTCTCGAATTTATTAGGATGATGTTACACGTACATAATGGTATACATACAGATTTCCACTTTCTTATATGAAGGGGATTCATATACAATAAATTATGCGTGAACCTCCTCCATGTAAGAGGAGTGTAACCCTGTGTATAAACTTTAAGGTGTACAAGTAGCATTACCCAATTTATTAATGTTAACTCTTTTTTTTTTTCCTTTTCAAAATGATCAAACTTAAATTTACATGTCTAAGAATTTTCTCTACATTGACTAGACGTTTCGTTTAGCCATCTTTTATATAAAATCACATCATGTTAATGCATAAATAGTATTCTTCTTTGGCGTGTACTTCTAGAATTTGGATTTTCATTTTAAAATATCAGCCATATTAAGAAAAGTAGATCAAACTCTTAAATGGTGGTTTATATTTTTATATTCATTTGATGTAGGATTCATCCCTTAACATACTTCAGCAAGATGGTGATTTTTTTGAAAATATCAATGTTGAAATTTGTATACTCGTTATAAAGTCTTAGGAAACAATGTTGACCTTTTAATGTAAAATCCCAAATCTTATTATTTATTTCCCACTACAATTATTATAATCGTGTATATATATATATATATTTGTTTTTCTTTTGATGCGATGAGAATCACAAATATTTGAAAACAATAAACACGTCTGAAAATGTGATAATATTCATAATTTTAAAAAGTAAAGAATCATTGTTTCACTATCCAACAAAATAATAATAATAAATAAATAAATAAAAATACTAACAATTCACAGGGTTTAAAATGGGAGCTCAATATAATTTTTTGATCAACAAATGTTTTAGCCTATTTTAAAATAATTGTTTAGTAATAGCAAACAAATAAAGAATACTACAAACCATAAATTAAAAGGAATAAGCCCTCCCCCGGCGAGTCAACTTTGCTGCATCAAATTTACTATCAATATGAACTCGTTTAATATATTTTTGTGCGTGCGTTTGACTAATGTGTTTATAGTTTTATAGAATTATTTTTTTATTAAAATAAAATGTCAAATTTGAGGAAAAGCTTAAATTAAAATTTAAAAAATGGATGGGCAAAAGGACAATGGTTTGACAAAATTGTAAAGCAGAGAAACTGCTGCCAGAATTGTTACAGCTATGGCAGCATCTATTTGGTCTATTTTTCATTTTTGCTATTTTCCAATTGAAAATTGCCACGTATAATCTGTTACAATTCTGGCAACATTTTTCTGTACAAATAGCAGGGCTGATTATAAAAACTGATTTCTGACTCCATTTTTTTACACATGCAAGTGTGAAGCTGGTGCATTGAATGTAGGAATTGACTTTGTGCAAAAATAAATTTCAATTAGAAACCATGATAATGTCTTTTAAAATTCACAATCTAGAACTAAGAATAAAGAAGCGAGCAAAAATTATTCCTCAAAAAAAATCAAAAAAGAAATAAATTTTACTAACACATGCATGGTCGGGGATCAATTTCAAATTACATTATGCATATCGTTTCACTAGATTTTATAACACAATAACTATTTATTTTCGACTTTGATTTGTGTAGCTTTTTATTTATAATAAATTATTGAGTAAACGGACTTTAATAACAACGAGTGCGATTTACTTTTAGTATATCTATTATACTGTTAATTTCTTGCCCATATGTCTAAATTCAAACACACAATTTAGCTAAGCATTAAGTCTTACAAATAGGTAAGAACATGAACCCTACTCACTAATTTCTTGACAAGTTCAAACATTTACAACACCACGAAACCGTCCAAAGCTAGGAAACATCAGTATTTAATTAATTAATTAATTTTATATATATATATATATAGACACACACACACACACAACTGGCCAATTATTGTACAAGTTCAATTGATTTATACTTTGGCTATCCTTCTTGTCATTCAATGCATATACTTCTTAGTTTGCATTAGAAAAATAATTTCATTTATCATCATTATCCCACCAAACAACCATATCCGCCGCCCCCATCTTCTTCCATTCCAATCACCGGATCCACCACTCTCTGACATGGACACGCTGGAATTCTCATCGGGCAGATCACCTAGGAGGGAGCTCCAAGGACCTCGTCCAGCACCTCTAAAAGTACGTAAAGATTCCCACAAGATCAGAAAACCGCCAGTTGCACCGCCACCGCAGCAGCTGCAGCCTCGACCACCAGTCATAATCTACACCGTCTCTCCCAAGATAATCCATGCAAATCCTAACGAATTCATGTCACTAGTTCAACGTTTAACCGGCCCGAACTCAACCTCGACCTCGACCTCAGTTTTTCAAGAAAATTTCAACAATGGTGGAATATCTCCAGCTGCACGTTTTGCTTCTATAGAAAAAACCAAGTCCCCAGAAGGAAGAAAGTTACCACAAGCTTTTAATGGGATGGAAATGGTTGGAGGAATAAATATTAGCACAGAAATTGACAACACTTGCAGGCAATTTCAGGGTATTTTATCTCCTAATCCAGCTTCTCTTCCAACTATTCCATCCAAACATTTTTCCCTTTCATCTGATACAAATCCACTGAATTTTTTCTATGATTTAAGCCCAGTTTTACACAGTAACAAAAATTATTTAGAGCGTAGTTTAATTCCAAGTCCAACTTTTCTTTCACCCTATATGCCTTCTCCCAATACTGTAGACCTTTTCCATAGTTTATTTGACCTTTAACCATACACAAAAATGCAGGACTTAGTAGATTTTCTCCCAAACCCTCTTGGCGACGAAGACGGTATACGACTGGATCTGAATAGCAGGTTCGACCCTGCTTAAAAGTCAATATTTTTATCTTTAATAAGTTACTTTTAAACATGATAGATGTGATTTCGAAATTTCTTTGATGTAAGATTATTATCACCATTTCTTTACAAATAAAAGTTAAATTGTGGGCCTCATGCTTGATGCATTAGTTGGCTCAAATATCTCTCTTGTCTTTGTTATACTCGTCATGGTTTGGGATCTTTTTTTTTTTGTCATGTAGCCTCTGGATTGTAATTTGAAACACAGAAATATTTATTTGTTTGCGCTCTTCTTGTTCTTCTTCTTCTTCTTCTATTTGTTTTATATAATTACTTGGTCAAACTGCCATTTAAATAGATTATTAGTGTTTGAGTTCTTAATCTATCAAGCAAAAATTTATGTTTCATCCCTTTTGAAGTGGATTTGCCGATCATGATGGCACACTTATTTCTTGAGAAGAGATGGAAAGCATGCTCAATAAACTCAGCCCCTTTTTGTTTTGATATGTTTAGTGCATTAAACATTGAAAGAATGAGAAAACTTCAAGATTAACCACAGTTTTATGATCAAACCATTCAATAACAGAAATAAATGCAGAAAATAAAACAATCAACACGAGGATTTTTTTCAGTTCGGCGACCACTTTCTAACGCCTAATCCTTTGTTGAGCATCTATTATAAATGGATAAAGGACGGTTGCACTAATAGCCCAAAAACCGGCAACAAGTATACTAGAATATTACAAAGAATTAAACCACGAAAACTTATCTTTGCAAGAACTACACGACAGACCAATATTCCACAAAGAAATCGAACAAATCACTAAGATCTTTCAAGGAGTAGAACTGCTCACGATGAATCACACAGATTCACACAAATACCACACAGGTAGCACACTATTATGCAGATCTATAATATCACAAAGTATTCACGCATTGATTCACTGGAACACTCAAGATTTTTGAACCCTAATCACCAAGAAAAGAGGTATTCTCACGCAGAGAAGAGAGAAAACAGAGAGATGAACAGCCGACTCAAAAACCCTAAAAAATGTGAGCTGAAAAGGCATGTTTGGAATACTTAGTGATAGAAGGACCTGGAAGCTCATCCAACGATCATTACACAGCCACGTGTTTCAATCCGGTCAATTCCATTTATTTCCAAAAGTGTTAATCCAAAGCAAGACTTCATCACAATATTTGGAAGCACACTTTTATAAGTGATTAGAACACGGTTCGAATCTCAACAATCTCCATCTTGCTTCCAAATTCTTGGCCATAGTGCAGTCAGGAGCTTCACCAACAGTTTATAATTTCATTTACTCATAGTACTTGCATGATCAATAAGGAAAATCAATTGATAAAATCTTTAAGCAGTTTTGAAACTTGTTTAAAGGTATTACTTTTGTTCCCATGTCAGATGGATTATGCAATGTAGCAATTTTTCCAATCTTTAATAATCTTTTTGATGTTACATCTCTTATGAAATGGTATTTAAGATCATTATACTTGGCTCTATCATGGAACATGGGATTCTTACTTAAATGAATAGCACTTTGATTGTCAGAAAATAAGGTTGGATTAGTGTCCACTAAACCAAGTTCATATAGTAGGCCATTTAACAAAATACCTTCTTTAACGGCATCTGTGGAAACAATATATTCTGTCTCGGTGGAGGATAAAACAACTACCTTTTGTAATTGTGATTTCCAACTCACAATAGTACCACAGAACGTAAAGTAATAAGATGAGGTGAATCTCCTATTATCTTTATCTCCACCAAAGTCTGAGTCAGTATAACCTTTTAGTGTTACCCCCTCTTTATTTATCTTAACACTAGACCTATGTCAGATGAACCTTTTAAGTATTTCAACAACCATTTTAATGCTTCCCAATGACTTTTACCAGGATTGGCCATAAATCTGCTTAAAACACTAATACTATATGCCAAATCAGGTCTAGTACATATCATTAGATATATTACTGATCCTCTAACATTAGCATAAGGAATTCTATTCATTTTAGCATATTCTTCTTCAGTTTTAGGACATGCATCTGAGGTCAGTATAAAATGATTTGCAAGGGGCAATGTTACAGGTTTACACTCAAACATATTGAACTTTTTCAAGATTTTATTCACATAATCCTGTTGGTTTAAGAACAACATTCCATTTTCTTTATTTCTAACAATTTGCATACCAATTATCTTCTTGGCAGAGCCAAGATCTTCCATGTCAAATTCTGATTTTAGCTTTTGCTTAATGACATCAATTTCAGATTTACAAGCACTAGCAATAAGCATATCATCAACATAAAGAACCAAATAAAGAGAATTCTTACCACCACACCCTTTACAATATAAACATGTGTCATAATTGCTTCGATTAAAACCAAGTTTTAACACAGAGGAATCAAAACGTTTGTACCATTGTCTAAGGGCTTGTTTCAACCCATACAATGATTTTTTCAACAGACAAACAATTTTATTTGGATCACCTTTTTCAAAACCTATTGGTTGTCTCATATAGATCAATTCATCCAATTCTCCATATAGAAAAGTCGTTTTTACATCTAATTTATCTAATTCTCATTCAAATTGAGCAACCAAAGTCAGAATGCATCTTATAGTGGTATACTTAACTATAGGGGAAAAAATCTCATCATAGTCAATCCCTTCTCTTTGGGTAAACCCTTTTGCAACAAGCCTAGCTTTATATCTAATATTATTGTTACCCCCTTCTCCTTCTTTTATTTTATATATCCACTTGCAATCTATCAATTTTTGATCCTTAGGTTTGTCAACCAATTCTCATGTTTTATTTTTATGCAATGAGGTCATCTCCTCTTCCATAGCAGCTAATCAAATTTTTGAATCCTTAGATTTTATGGCATCATTATATGAACAAGGTTTAGATTCAATTTCATCTTGATAGGAGAATAATGAGACAAATCTGGCATGTTTCAGTAACAGAATTCTACCATTTTCCAAAAGTAATTTTATTGTTCCAATATCTTTCACTTTGCAGGTCATGTTGTTACCCATGATAACTTGGCCTCCCTTAATTTGTTCAAGGTCCAAAAAATAATTTTTGTTTGGGCACATGTGGAAAGAGCAATCTGAATCAAGAATCCATTCTTGATTTAGGTTCTTTTCAACATTTACAAGGACCGAGCCGTTATCACAACTCTCCTTATCATAGGACATAACAACATTACCTTCATTTGAATTCTTTCCTTTTAAATCATTTTACTTTTTGTAACAATCTTTAGCAAAGTGACCCAACTTACCACAATAATAATATTTCTTTCCCTTAGCCTTGGTTTTGTATTTCATTTTGTCATTATTTCTTTTCTTAGGGTCATTTGAAAACTTTGAATGAAAATTAGATTTACCGACATTTTTGCCTATTAACAAAAGATTTTCTCCCAAGAACCCTATTTCTCAAGACATTTATAATTATATCTGTGGTAAGACTATCTCTTCCATATTCTAAGGCATTCTTTAAGTCTCTATGCCTATCACTAATGGAGTTTAACAAAACCACTGCTAGCTGATCTTCTGATAATTTCTCATCACAGTTGGCAAGGTCCTGGGTCAGTTTAATAAATCTGTCCAGGTTCTCATCTAAATCAACTGAAGGGTCCATTTTGAAAGAAAAGAATTGTTTTAGCAAAAAAATATTTGTTTGGAACAATTTTTGGCTCATATTGGGCTTTCAATTTAGTCCACAATTCTTCAACAGTTTTAGTTTCTCCTATAGTCCTGATCACATTGTCTGAAAGGTACAGAAAAATTGTACTCCATGCTATTTCTTCTAACTCGGTTCTTTTACCAGCAGGCTAAGAATTATCTAAGGTTTTAGCACATTTCATTTGCATCAAGATAGCCCTCATTTTCTGACTCCACATATTAAAGTCTCCCCTCCCATCATACATACTCACTTCAAACTTAGCGGTAGCCATCACAAAATGTCAGGATAATGTACAAAGCACAAGTTTGAATTTCAAGAATACACAGAGGGTCACACATAACAGGACTACTTACAGATCACAGATTAGTGTTAATCAACAATGCACTTAGTAAGATAATCTCAAAACAATGATCACTCGATTCAAGGTAAAGAAACAGGAATAGAAAACAGAGATTGTTATCCTATGTATCTCAACTAAATTTCTCCAGCAAGACCTTCCAATTGCACTCCTCCACCGTGTTGTTATCTCAGATTCCCAAGACTTCTTGGAGTCTTTGGACAAAGACCAATCACGGGATGGTTTTATAGTACAAGGTAAATCAAGGGAAAATATTCAAGAAATACAACAGGTAAAATTACCAGACACGAAGTATAGGAAAGATCTCACCAGAAGAATTCTAAGAACTCAGATTCCTTTTGCTTGAGTTCACACAGTTTGAGGCAGTATTCGAATGCACAGTTTCCTCGAGGATCAGGTATCATTCAAGAGGCCATGGCTCTGATACCACTGAAAGAACGAGAAAACTTCAAGATTAACTACAGTTTTATGATCAAACCATTCAATAATAGAAATAAATGCAGAAAATAAAAGAATCAACACGAGGATTTTTTTGGGTTCGGCGACCACTTTCTAATGCCTAATCCCCTGTTGAGCATCCATTATAAATGGATAAAGCTCGGTTGCACTAATAGCCCAAAAACTGGCAACAAGTATACAAGAATATTCCAGAAATATTATAAAGAACTAAACCACGAAGACTTATCTTTGCAAGAGCTATACGACAGACCAATATTCCACAAAGGAATCGAACAGGTCACTAAGATCTTTTAAGGACTAGAACTGCTCACGATGAATCACACAGATTCATACAAATACCACACAGGGTAGCACACTATTATGCAGATCTATAATATCACAAAGTATTCACGCATTGATTCACTGGAACATTCAAGATTTTTGAACCCTAATCATCAAGAAAAGAGGTATTCTCACGCAGAGAAGAGAGAGAACAAAGAGATGAATAGCCGACTCAAAAACCCTAAAAAAAGTGAGCTGAAAAGGCATGTTTGGAATACTTAGTGATAGAAGGATCTGGAAGCTCATCCAACGGTCATTACACAGCCACGTGTTTCAATCCAGTCAATTCCATTTATTTCCAAAAGTGTTAATCCAAAACACGACTTCATCACAATATTTGGAAGCACACTTTTATAAGTGATGAGAACACGATTCGAAACTCAACAAACATGATATGAAAGAAAAGTAAATGGAAATGTTTATTATCTAATATAGTTTATCGTACACTACTACGTAACTGT